TGAAATTTCTCTTTCACTTTAGAAACCGTGATGCATAAAAACAGTTTTATCTCTCTGTGAACAATGGTAGCATCGTGACATAATACATTTAGAGAAGATGATAATGAATCAATGAGCAATTAAGATTACATTTTAAAGAAAAAAAGATTAAACAAAACTTTAATTCATTTCATCTTTTTAATTGTGATGAAAAGAAATCATTTGCAATGGTCTGTGACACGTCTTATGAAAATTAGTATGTGCTGTGTAGCATATTTATGTGGTCTCCTAAATGTTCCGGAGGACCTAACTGTAAACACAAACAGTGGCCTTAAAGATATTTCTGTCCCAAAGTGTACTTTGATGGTGAGAAGCTGTAAATTCTGAGGTTTCCCTGCAACAGAAACCATACTATATGCAGACACTCCTCCTCCAGTGCTGTGGTCTGCAAGTCTGATTGAAAATAGCTGCACAGTATGTGGGGTTCGTGCATCCTACTCATTCCATGTCCTGGGCTGTACTCAAGTCATGTATTGCCATTTCCTGTGAAGCAGAGACAGTCTTAAAACAGCATGAAGTTCAAAGTTACCAGGTCTGATGGGTTCAAAATGATGGTTTGACTGCCTCCACACCATCATGCATGCATACTTAAGCATTTTTTATCAATTCCAGTTGTATAAGTTAGCTTGCCTTCATGAGTTCAGGTGCTTTGTCTAGATCATTTAATACAGACTAGTGAACCATTTAAACCACACTTTAGGGTTCATATCTTACATTCAACATGCGTACAATCTGCTGTCCTGTGTACACTCATACAGTTAGATAAACGTAAAATTCAGCATGTTTACACAACAATGGAGTTGTAGAGACTGTGCTTGTGTTCAGTTTAAAAAAACACACAGAAGGAAAGATAAGGGATCCATGTACTTTTTTCATAGAATATTTATTGAATTTCATTTTTAAAACCAAACAGTTAACATTTTCTCTTATCATCACATATATTTTGACTCTCTCGAGTCTTCGACTTCCTCCCTTCCCCCTAACTACTTTCTTACATCCTTACATAATTTCTTTAGCATTTCAAATCCCCCCCTGTTTTACCTACTTTTATTCATTCTCATATATATATATATATATATATATATATATATATATATATATATATAAATTGTAAACAGGTTTCTACCTCTACTTTGCAAAAAACACACACCCAAAACCCCTTTAAGTCAGTCCTGTTAGTGTTGTCAAGCATTTACAATGTTCTTTCAAATATAATAAAAATTTACTCCAGTCTTTTTCAAACTACTCTCGGATTTTCCTGGTCAGTCTTGCTAGTTCTGCATATTCAATCATTTTAGTTTGCCATTCTTCTAATGTTGGTACTTCTTGTTGCTCCCATTTCTGGGCTAAAAGAGTCCTCGCAGCTGTTGTAGCATAGAGAAATATATTATAGTCATTCTTGGGAATTTCTTCTATTATACCCAACAAAAAAAGCTTCTTTTTTATGAAATGCATCTTAAAACATTTTTTTAAAGCTCATTATATATCATGTCCCAGTAAGCTTTAACCTTGGAACAAGTCCACCACATAAAGTCAAAATTCCCTTCTTTTTCTTTACATTTCCAACACATATTATCACTTTTTTGCTAATTTAGTTGGTCTCAAATACCATCTGTACATCATCTTCATTATATTTTCCTTTAAGGCTGTACATGCAGTGAATTTAATTCCTTTTTTCCATAGCTTTTCCCAAGCCTCTAATTGAATATTATATCCAAAATCCTTAGCCCATTTTATCATAACCATCTTAACTTCTTCATCTTTAGTATGCCATTCTAACAATAGATTATACATCTTTGACAAAATTTTACCTTTACATTCTAACAACTCGGTCTCCAGTTTTGACTTAGTATTTGCAAAGCCATTATTTTTAACATCATCCTTAAAAACATTGTGCAATTGATGATATTGCAACCAATCGGTCAATTTTCCTTTCAACTCTTCAAAAGACTTTAATTTTACCTCATTTTCAGCTTCTATTAGCAAATCTTTATATGTGGCCCAATTTTCCCCATATTTTTCTTTTTAACCGCTGTAGGGATCTATGTACTTCTAATACCTACAGCATAAGTGATTATAGGATGAGCAGCTTTTCTCCTGCATGGCAAGCTACACCACCAGATTCTCATTTTTACAAAACTGCATCTCACCCTTTGCAGTCAGTCATTGTAGAAACGAAAAGAAAAGATGGACTAGGGGTTGGGGTTGGGGTATGGATAGAAGCACATGGATATTTGCTTTCTTCAAGCCCAGCATATTTTCAAAGGAAGCTGTGGTCATCAGGTAGCCCAGTCCACAGCCCAGTTAAGCCTATTCAGTCCCACTATTGAACGACTGTTCAGTTGTTCAAACCTGTTCTCGGATCATTTGCTACTGGACTCCAACACTGCTGCATACATATTGGCAAATAGATAATAGCTGTCGTATGTTGCAGTCCATCAAAATTGTTGGATAGTTAGTAGCTGTAAACTGGGTTCAATCCAGCTGTCCAGGTTTGACTAGATGGTGGCTCAAACCACCCCTGAAAGGGGGCAGAGAAAGAGAGAGAGTACCATCCTGGTGCTGCAACCCTTTGGTAAAAAATAATTTTGTAATGGGAGCAGGAAGATTGAGATGGCAACACAGAACATCATTTGGGTTTTGATGTGGAAAATAAATGTGCAGCGAATTGGCATCTGGCCACATTTCTTTTAGATGGACTAGCTGGTGGGATTAGACAGACTTAATGTCACGTTTTCCATGGCATGACCGGCCGAGATTTCATGGCAGACTGGGGCTGCTGTTAGCATTAGCCTGCATTAGGCATGTAAGAAGATAAAACGACAGCTTTGGGAGCCATGTACAGTAGAGTCTTTTACGTCTAGCAGAGATCCATGTGCAGAGGTACTTTTACTTATAGCATTAAAGAGCTGATAGTAACTAGCATATCATTAAGTAGCCTTGCCCCGTGTGCACTGTAGTGCTATGATTTTTACTATAGCTGTCTTTGATTTGGCAAATTGCTGTAGAAACTTGCAGGGGACTTTATCTCACAAACAAGCAATACAATATGAAGAAAGAGTGAACATACTGTTTTATATTGAAGAGCTTTTTGTTGTTTTTATTGTGGACAGGGTCACTTTAAAATAGGCAATAAAGTTATCCAGTTTTTATGTGCACGTCTTCCTCCTGTTAAGGCAATACAAGATAGAGCAACAAAAAATTAATGTACAAAGAAATGCAGTTGCCATGATCATTTGTCTGGGCACTATTTCTGTTCTCCCTGTCCCAAGTAGGATGCAGAATTCTCCACTGTTGTGATGTGTGCAGGGAGAGGATATCCAGTTTGGACTGAGAAAGGCCCCTGTTTGAGGCCCTTGATGTCCCCTGTCAATCAGTGCTCTGGTTCACACATAGTACTAAACCGTAGTTAACATTAATTATAGCTAATTTTAATTATAATTTAATAAACAATAGTTAAAGCTGAGTTGTCTAGCAGATGATCACTTCAACCTTGGCTTATTACATCACAGAGTGGTTAAAAGCGCCAGCAAAAGCAGCTGAGCCTTGAGAGTAGTTTGAATTTTTTTTGCTACTCTTCAAGCACGGCTCTGTAGCAATGACAGTTTCTTAGCTAAGAAGGGGGTCCAGGTTTACACTTAATGCTCAGCTATGGTTTACATGAACTAAGGTTTATAAGCTGCTTACGAAACATGATTAACAAACAACCTTTAAATATAGTTAATAAAACATAGTTCAGTTGCTAAGTTAAGTTCATACCCAACTCTAAGCCATGGTTTAATAAGCCATAGTTTAATAAACCATGGTTTATCATATGTGCAAACCAGACCTACATTAGAGGTGATACTGAGCTATATGGTCCAATGTTCTGACACGGTATAAGGCAGCTTTCTATATTCCTACATTTTTGTACTTGTGCTCTAAATATCAAATGTGAATTGGCCCTTGTTGTGTATCCCTGTATCTATAAATGGATCCCCTTTTCAAAACAGCTATTATAAGATTATTAATTTTTTTAAATGGCATGAATTTGGCAAGCTCTGGTTATTTTACTTCAACAGTATCATAACTAGTAAACTCATTTTTTATTGTCTCAGGCAGAGACAAAAATTAGGAGGAAGAAATTGGAAAGATAGGGTGGAAGAAGAGTACAGGGCTCTAGTTCATTTTTAATTTAATGTACAAGTGCATATATATGCCTGGATCATAAGTGCTTATATTAGCTTCTTTATTAATATTTGCTGACGTTGGAAGATGTTAAGCAGAATTGTTTGTTTTTTGATATTCTGCCTCTCCCGGTTCAGGACTCAATAGCTCACGACATAAATTAAAACAGATACAAGTTTTTTAAAAAACAAAATAAATATAAATAATAGAATGTTACAATATATGAAACGTAAATATCTCTAAATGAAATATAAATAATGAATTGAAAGCATTATCCTTTGTATATTTGAGGGTTTCTCAAAGCTAAGATGGAGTCAGATTGGTGGCATACACAAAGGAGTCTGCTCTTCCCTCGGAAGAGAGTACATTTAAAATATTGCTATTGCTAGGACTACACTCAAGGTAGCAAATTTTAGTAAGTGAGAAGCAAAAGTTCGTGAGTCTGAAAATGCATGAAACAGTTTGTGTATTGGCAAGTATGCTGAATTGCCTTATTACGCAGAGGGTTCTAATGCCAGTGTTTTGAGCTTGTAAATAAGAGCAGAGACACCCAGCCCAGATTAATCATTATGCTTCTCGCCTTTCTTGAGCATTAAGCATTGTTCATATGTCTTTCCTCAGTTACTTAAACGTCCGAGATATTTATATTATTTGTTGGTACTATATTTAGGTTGGCTGTTTCACTTCCCTCCCGAATTTGTTCAAGCCCAGAAATTATATCAACTGCAAGGTAACATTTCATGAAAAGCAAAAGAGACGGACCTGACTTCTCCCTTTCTTTCTTTTTTTTTCAGGTGACATTTACGAAGAGGAAATTTGGGTTAATGAAGAAGGCTTATGAGTTGAGTGTTCTCTGTGACTGTGAGATTGCTCTAATAATCTTCAATAGCACCAACAAACTGTTTCAGTACGCCAGCACTGATATGGACAAGGTGTTGCTGAAGTATACAGAGTACAATGAGCCACACGAGAGTCGAACGAATTCAGATATTGTTGAGGTAAGAATACACCTCTTGCAATTCCCCCCACCTATACTTTGCCATGCAAGTTTCATACTGACTTTGTTTCCTTCATGTCAATTACTTGATGACGTTCAGCTGAAATAGCTACATGTGTTTCTTTCTACAACTCACAAAACTGTGGAACACAGGACAAAGCAATATACTATTTGAGTCACTGTTTGAGTTCCTTAATCAATTTTGCTTCCATTTTATATTTATAAAGAAGTCACTTCCATTCAGTGCAGAAACCCTTTCTTACTGTCAAGCATAATAATACAAGCCATCACCTTCTTAAAACGATGGATTGACATTAGAGAGATAGGTAGGTCGCTAGATAGCCATCCAATAGGTTTTCTAATGTGAGTGCAAGTTAAGCATCATGTAAAAATCTTACGGTGCAAAGTAAACCAGGCCTTTTACACATTTGGCCTTAATGTATTGTTCAGTGTGGTTTGAAATAAATATTTTGTTGCTTTGCAAATAACGAAAAGGAAAACCCAGAAGAGCATTGATTCCCAAATGCATTGTATTTCTTGTTTGCTGCCATTGATTTACTCTGCAATCTTATGGCAGTACGTTTAAGTAAAGATGTAAACAGATAGGTGAGTCACCCTAACCAGCCTTAACCGTCTTTGAGAAATACTTATTTCAATGTAACGATCTCTGGGAGTTTTGCTGCTGATTTCAGTGGAGCCAGAATTTAAGTGCCTGTCTGCTTGGTGGCTTCCTGCACTTTTAGTTTTATGCTTTAATGCAAATCCAAAAGTGCACAAAGCAGTCCCATAAAAAAGAAGTTTGTGCTCTCCTTCCCTGTGATAACTGTACCAACTCTTTGGCTGACCAGACACCATGGTTAAGGCTTAGGGAATGCATGGGTAGCACATTATTTGAAGGTTCAGAGTCTGCTCAGCAATCTGAGTACTAGGGAAGGTAAATGACGTGCGCTCTGGTTTCCGTCACAGTGTTCCGTTCCACAAGAAGCTGTTTAGTCATGATGGCCACATGACCCGGAAAGCTGTCTGTGGACAAACACCGGCTCCCTCAGCCTGAAGTGAGATGAGCGCTGCACCCCATAGACGCCTTTGACTGGACTTAACTATCCAGGAGTCCTTTACCTTTTACCTTAGCTAATATGCTAGTTCTTCAACCACTCAGCCAGGCCAGTAAATAATATGTGGCAACTATGCTTTGTGACAGGATGTGCAGTAGTGAGTTTGGTGGCCGTGAAGTTGTGGCCATTCATAGATTTGTGTCAACAAAGGTTTCAGGCTCTTTCTACCAAAAAAGCAAAAGCTGCAGGAACACGTTGACAATCATTTTGGTAGATTCAAATGGTTAAGCGATAATCACACAAAAGAGAGACAAAATGCCTTGAGTACTGTTTCTTCCATATGGCTTGCTGGCAGCTAAAATAGCATACTAACTTGAAAGGATGTGATTTTCTATATTCAGACTGAAATACAGAGTGCAGAGGTCACTCTGGATTCAGCACTGTTTCAGGGTCAGAGGAAATAGTTTTGCAGCGTGTGTGGGTGTTTTTTTGGGGGTAGAATCTTTACATTAGGGGAAAGGAGGGGAAAAAACTTCAGTGTAATTATATTGTTTTACTTGATAATTAGCATCACTGTTGCTAGTACAATGAAGCAAGAAAACAAAAGCTGAAGAGGCAGGCAGCTTCACACACAAAAGTAGCTTGAGTACATGTCTTAGTGCAGAATAAAGAATTGCTGTCTTTTAAATATTTAAATGCGCCAGGGAAATGCAAAAAAGAAAACCCTATCCCAGAGAAAACCAGAAATCATCTTCTTCTAAGGTATCCAGCATTGTTTGACATTGATCTCATTCACATATACTGCAATGCTAACCCAAATTGAGCAAACTGTTCTCCCAAGAAAATGATATTTATCTTTTCATACTACAGGATTTAAGGCGGGATTTCTTTCTTTCTTTCTTTCTTTCTTTCTTTCTTTCTTTCTTTCTTTCTTTCTTTCTTTTTCTTTTCTCACCTCTGTGATTGTTTAACAGACTTTAACACATGGGTAGGCAAACTAAGGCCCAGGTGCCGGATCCGGCCCAATCGCCTTCTAAATCTGGCCTGCGGATGGTCCAGGAATCAGCGTGTTTTTACATGAGTAGAATGTGTCCTTTTATTTAAAATGCATCTCTGGATTATTTGTGGGGCATAGGAATTCATTTCCCCCCCCTCCAAAATATAGTCCGGTCCCCTGCTGAAAAAAATTGCTGACCTCTGCTTTAACAGAATCCATACTGCTTTTTTGCCACATATTGGCATCTGGTATGTGGTTGAGTCTTCTTTACTTCACAGTGATGCTGAGCACATGTGTGGTGATCAGCCTATAAACTAATGTTCTGCTTCTTTCTAAAATGAAGTTTCAATTCTTAGCCTATTCGAACTGAGCAGCTTAGAAGCATGGCCTCGGTCAGAGTAGGATAATTAGACACAATTTCGCTTGTAAAGTATAAATGTGGGAACTGCATGGAGGGGTTAGGGAACTAAGTGTGTTTTCAGTTCTCAAGATCCAAATATGACAACTCCCTACAACACACTCTGGCAATGTGCATCCTTTTATTTTAAAAGCTATTTTATTTATTATTCATCTTCAATGGATTCTGCTGGAGCTAATAACACAGAGTACTTGCTATCAAATGTCAGAGGAAAACTGCAGTGGGACTATGTGCCCTTGACTCCCAGGTTTTTCAGAAAATAGAGATTTGATATCCTTTGCTTATCTGACAGGGTTTTCACAGCAAATTCAGGTATTAGACATGGCAGAGCAAAAAATAATCATCACAGATTAACTTTTTGACCTTCTAAATAATAATAGTTATTACTGAAATTGCTAACAAAATCATTCCTCCCACTTAAGAGTGAATCAAAATATACATTTGGAGACTCTGAGTGTTGCCCTTACTAGTTTAGACAAAACTATAAAGGCAGTGAACAGACTTTTTTAAAAAAAGTTTTACCTATGAAATGAATTTGCTTTGGGACTCTGAAGGCTTTAGCATCTGGTGTGAAATTATCTGGGCTTTTTAATGATTTCAGGATAACATTTTATTACTTAAGGTTTTATTTGTCCATCCCAATCCCCTGGCACCACATTCTCATTGGTTGTGCAGTGGTACCTTGCGTTAGAAACACTTCGGGTTACAAACTCTGCTAACTCAGAAGTAGTACCTCGGGTTGAGAACTTTGCCCCAGGATGAGAACGGAAATCACACACCGGCGGCATGGTGGCAGCGGGAGGCCCCATTAGCAAAAGTGTGCCTCAGGTTAAGAATAGTTTCGGGTTAAGAACGGACCTTGAGGTACCACTGTACTTCGTAACCCGAGGTACCACTGTACTTTTAATGCATTTGCTTAATTGTAGCACTTTAACATCTTGTGTTTTCTTCTCTATGACTGCCTCCTCAATTCCCATCCCTTGTTATACAGAGTATTGCAAACCTTTCCCATCCCCTGTACATCGGTCTTTCTTGTTTCTTCATTTCCATTCTCTCTTGTCTTTCACATAAATCATGCTTCTCTCTTCCTTCCAGACCATCGCTCACCCTTTTTGTTACCTCCAGCCAATCAATCTTTTATTTCTCTGGTATTCTCACAAAGCTTCACCCTTTCCTGTCCTCACCAATCCACTCCTTTCTACCAAGTCCATGGCTGCTACTTCATAGTTCAGATTCCCTGCTTCCCTGAAATATTTCATTTCTCTCCCTTCTAGAACCTCCATCTCAGCAGTTCTCTCCTTAATTGCACAAACGCAGACACAAAGACACAACACACAGACATTCCCACATCCCCTTCAAACATTTTGGAAACTCACAGCAACTCACTCTACTGAACAGTTTTGATGCTCCCATACAGTTATCTAGAGATGGGGGAGAAATTCAATTTTTATTTATTTTATTTTTAATGAGAAATTGCCTAATTCACACTTCTCACATCACTGCATGAAATGAAACATAATTATTCAATGAGATACTCACTTCTCTTAATTCTGTGATGCAGTTTGCCAACAACACAATGCTTATCAAAATGGATATATTAGAAGAAAATATACATAAAAATGCATATATTAATGAAAATAATGTACATTAATACATCATGTTAGGGGGAAATGTGTATATTATGAGTGTGACATGTAAGCCAGGAAGTTGCCATGTCAAATTCACTTTGGCCATCAATTCACCAAAGTAATTTTCAGCACACTTCAATCTCAGTGCTTCTATGTCCAGTTCTGCAACATGCTGAGAATATGACTGAGTTGTTGTAAGCATTACAGAGATAATGGTCTAGTTTAGAGGAAACATGCTTGTTCTAAGAAACCATGGTGCCTGAGTGCTGCATCCTCATCCACTGAACTTTAACGGTTCTGTCACGGTTATTAAATTGCAGCTTCCTGGTGTATCCAATCTGGAAAACTGTAGTTTAATCTCTGTCTACAAAGCAGGATTTGAAACCAAGGGATACAGTTGTTCAATAAGCCCTAGAAGTTGTAAATTAAGGCAAAGGAGAAAAAGGAAGAGGCAGCGCTGGATTTAGGGCGGCGTGGGAGGTGCTGAGGGGGTTGCAAAATTATAATAAATAAATAAGGAATTATTGTGAAAATAATAAATATTTAGGGGAGGCACTGAATTTTGTTCTCACTCAGGGCACCATATTACCGAAGTCCACCCCTGAAACCATGTGGACAAAACCCTCATATTTATATTTCCATTTAGGAGCCTGTAATTCCTGAAAAGTCAACAATGAGATGGTGAGTAACAGGTTTCACTGACATGCATTTGCTCAGCACTACCAATCTTTTCTACCATCAGCCAAAGAAGAGTTTCGCTTGTCCAGTAGGCAGGGCCACTCTCAGTGCACTCAGGGCTCTAGTGAAATCCACTGTAAGCCCATTTTATAACCTGTGTAAACTGAGTTCATGTTCTGGAATATGCCTCATATTTCTTCAGTGTGCAGAGGTTCCTTGACAATA